TTTGAATGTTGGCCAAAAATTTGAATGAGTTTGAGAAAATTTGAATGAATTTGAGAAACACTGAAAAATGGTATGTGGAAGAAAATTTATTGTGTCTATCTTCGATCTCTTACCATCAAATCTTTCTCTTCGTATGTCATAATGTGGAACATGAACCTAATTAAAAAACTAATTGCTAATAAAAAATTTACAATAATGAATACAAAATACATTTACATCTACACATAATCATTATATAACACATATCTCCACATCAATATCACAATTATTGATAATAGCAAATTATAATTTTATTCTTGCAAAATATATTTGAACCCGCACCGCATTTTTGAACCCACACACGGTACGGAAAATCATCTAGGTCCTCATTATAATTAAGATTCCTTTTTATGTTGCACTTTATAGAATGTCGTTTATCTAGCTTATTTTTTAAAATTAATGAATTCGATTCCAATTACAGTTTGCAATGTTGTATAAGAATTATATGAAGTTTAGCATACTGTATATGGAAGTTGAAGCATGAGGTAATAAGTAAAAGATTGCCATTAGCTATAACCACATGAATATTGATGATATATACACCCAAGAGCTTTGTCTACTTTGAATTTCTTTTAAACCGGTTTCCAATTCAGATTTGAACCGGTTCGGTTTTTATCAGTTTCAATACAGGAATTTGCTTCCAAAATCATAAGAGAACCTTTGAGATATCTGATAAAAAGAGTATTTTGGTTTCTGTTTTTAACTTTAGTTTCTGATAAAATCATACCAAAACCAAACCGTTAGTTAGTACACAAAAATGTTTCTTTCTTCTTTAATACACAAGAATTAACCAATGTAGTAGTAATAGTGTAAACACGATAATTCCATAATCCAATTCGTGATTTTCTTTCTATTTATATAAAAATATTTGTTTTGTTTTGTTTTCTTATAGCTATTTCAGTTTCAAATCTGATTATTATTCTCTATTCAAAAGTATGTATTTTGGTTTTTGTTCGATCGTCTCTAGTTTGGCTTTTTGGGATTTATAAAATTTTCACAAGAGAGCACACACGACACACATAGCTAAAGCAATACACAAGATTAATAATTTTAGCATTCAGAGAAAAGGAAGATTAAAGATCTTAAAACAACTCTTAGAATAAGAATCGATCATATTGATGATACTCCAATCATCAAGCTTAAACACTTTAACACCTTCACCCTTCACTCCTCTCCTATTATACCCATCTTCATCATCACTAAAGTAGATAGCATTCTCCAAACATCCATGGTACTCGGAGGCTAAGACCGTAAAACAACCGTCTGAAGCCACAATGAGTGCCTTGTCTTCCAAGCAACTAACCTCAACCCATTCAGCCAACTCCTTGTCCATCTTATAAACCTTAAAACCAATTGTCCTCTCAACAATTTTACGCTTTAGGGGAAATTTCCCATACAAACTATGAACAACGCATAGATCTCCACAATACTCCACAAGTCTCTTGTCTTTGCAATTATTGACCTGATAATATTCCACTAGATTTATTATCTCTTGTCTTTTTTTGTAATACATATATTCCACTGGAGTTGAAGGTCTATATTGAGATATACTGAGATCATATAAACTAATCCGCCAAATTGCGCCTTTTAAATCTAAAGCATAAACTTGTCCCCTGTGAACTATAACGTCCGAGAAACCTTCAACATATCTTCTCCATATACTACGTTCTTCTCCACGCTTGCAGTACAAGATTTGCTTGTCTGTATAGTCCACTAAGAAAACATGATTGTCTACTAAAGCAACTCTAGACAAGTCACGGTATATTTCAGTTCGCTTGTGCAAGAATTGAACGTTGTAAGATTGACGAATCTCTGAAACCCCGAACTTCGAAAGGTCTAGGGTTTTGTCGTAAGGGGTGATGAGCTCGCTCGAGAGAGGAGACAAGAGATTAATCTTACTTGATTCAGAGACTTGTCTGGTTTTGATCAGCCATCCTTTGTTAGGACATGAAGACGAAGCTTGAGTTACACGGAAGAAAGTGTTAGGTAAGAGGTCACTCTTACGAACAAGGCTGCGTTTAAAGCGGTTGAGGTAACGCTTTTTTGGTGCAACAGCAGAACGCCAGGGTTTACAGATGCTACGGATACGGAGGAGATCAATGTTGGAAGATGAATGATTGGCGATTACATCGACGAGTTCTTCAGGTAAATCAGACCACCCGACTTTCCCCATCTCGATCTCTATTTCTGTGTTGTGTTTCGTGTTAGTGAAACAATTTCAGAACAAATCCCTCAGATTTAACAAAACTGAATCTACATATGCACAATCGAGACCTAATGTATATATAGACGAAACATATTCCGAATCTGCTTGGAAGTGATGCCAGGAAGGGGTTGGCCAGGAACCATTCGCATGTTATCTGGACGGAACATGGAAAGATGGAGACCCCACAAGTGGCATAGGGTGGACACTTCAGCTACAGGACGGCGCGATAGACTTACTTGGACTTCGCGGTATAAGGCGGAGCCTCTCCCTCTTACACATAGAGCTCAACAGCCTTCTGTGGACAATGACTTGTCTACGGAAGAAACGCAGGTATTATAGCCTTTTTCTTACGGACTCGATGGAGTTGACCACCATGGTGAGGGACCCAGAACAGTGGCCGAGGTTTCAAGCAGAGCTGGAAGAGTTCAAGGAACTACGGACGTCTTTTCCAGACTTTACCATACGGTATTTTTCAAGGGAGAAGAATGTTAGGTCAGACCTACTGGCCCGGCATGCTCGACAGAGGAAGTTACTGTTTTCTTATATTGGCACTTCAGTCCCTTACTGGTTCCCAAATATTGTTGTATTTGGCTAGTTTGCCGGAATGAAGTGTGTTCGTGACAAAAAAAAAAAAAGGAAGTGATGCTTCCTTTTTATTTTCATGGAAACATATTTCCTTTTTATTTCCATGGAAACATATTTCCTTTTATTTTGTGGGATCAATGAAAACGTATTATAAGCAGTATAAGGTGT